CACAGCAAATTATCAGCACTCAGGAAACTGTCAGAAACTGGTTTCTCACTTTCCCGATGAAATCCAGGAGCTGGTGTAGCTCCAAAAGCAGGAGTGTGAGTGGGGGTAAATGTTAAAAACAGTAACAAATGACATTTTTACATGATTTCATCATCACTGCCGTTGTACACTTCTAGAGGTATTACATTTCCATRGAGCGCAGAAGACTTGAAGCTACAATGTCTTTCCTTAGTGGCAGGATGAAACATCTAATTTACCACACCAGAATGGGGCTTCAGAAGATACAGATAGATCCTGTGGGTTCTTGTGGGACAAGCAATGTGCACAAGGTCTTACACAAAAAGTGCCTGACTGGCTTTTGCTGGAGGAGAAGGGTCAGAAGTGTAAAAAAAAAAATCCGTCCAGCCCTGATGCCTGCCAACTTCACTAACATTAATTTATGCCTTTGATTTGGTCACAAAACTCAACAGTAATATTAATGAATATTCATTTGCAGAAGCTTCTGCACATCCCATTCCAAAGAGAAAAGGCTGAGGTTTGGGCTTTCTTTTTCCCAGCAATCCTCTCCCCAGCACAGAAAATAAAATTCATTGAGAAGTGATGGAATTAAAACRAACTTTGATTCTAAAGCACAGACTCATAGTTCTTCCAGTTTCTTATTTTRCTCCAAACTGGAGAGCAAAGACCTAGCCATGAGTGGGAACCTGTTACACTCCAGCTTCAAATGACGACTGAGCCTTGCACAAAGCACCTGACACTCACCCAGAGGGTAACCAAAGCCTCCCCCAGCCCACACATGCCCTGAGTGACTGCAAGTCACTCAACGTGTGAGGAACAAGGCAAGAGGAGCCATCAGCCMAAGAGCCACTGCGGCACCCAGGTTCAGCCTTGGCCACCAGGCACTGCTGCCTGTTGATAGTGGAAACCTGTTYAAATGCAGCACTTTGGTATCATAAAACTAAGCTCTTAGAAGGAGGTTGCTCCCCTCCTGACCAAATATTTTGACTGAAGGATGCCTTTTTGAATATGGAGAAAACCTGGAGAAGCTTACAGGCTTTGTAACAAACACTGGCTCCMCTAATGCCGTTAAGCACCAGGTTTGCTCGGGAAGGTGCCACACCCACCAGGCAGCTCGCTCCTTCTGCTACCGAAACTTGCCGCGCGTAGCACCGAGCCAGCTTTCCAGGGAAAGCTCCACGAACCCAAGCAATCTTGGAGCTCATTCCCCGCTCATCTCTGCCCCAGGTGCCACAGCAGCAGTGACCCCATCACCCACTGATCCAGCCCCCCAAGAGCAAAGCCGGCAGCAACCTGTAAACCAACGCCGGTGCTGGGGGAAACCTCTGCGGTGTGAGCAAGCTCCGGGTGCGAATTCCCCCACCACACCCCTACCCGCCAGYTCTGCCTGTTCTTTATCCCAGCCCCTGTACCCCCAGATTCTGGTATAAAAGGGAAAGCATATACTGTCTCAAAGGACGCAGGTCCTTTCTTTCTGGCATGGAAAGAACACTCTGCGGTAGTTCTGCCCGGGTATAAAGGCATCTAGCGGGAGACAGGCACCGATAGGAAGAGGATGGTTATGATTAACTCTTTGACTTCTGATCCCCACCACGCCTGATGTATTAATAGCGCGCAGAGGTGTTGGTGCCGGCATCATGGCGCTCTTTGATTTYCCACGCTTCCCCCACGCCCATGTTAGCCCACCACCCATTTCTCCGCACCCTGTGGCTCCCCCCGGCCCACCGCCCCTGCCCCGCTGGGGCTGCATTGCCCCTGCCCGCTGCGGGGGTGGCGGCAGGGGCACGTTTTGCTGCGGTGGTCCCCTCCCTCTTTTGTTCTGTCTCGACCGGCGGCCGAGTCTCCCCGGGCCCGGCTCCTTGGGAGGGCGGTACCTCGGCCCCAGCCCCGGCAGCGCCGGGACGAGCCCCTCGCCGGCCCTCCCTCCCTTCCCCGCCCCGGGCTGGAGCGAGCACACAGCGCTGAGCCGCGGCTGGGCGACAAGAGAGCAAAGGGAGGCAGAACACAATTAAAAAAAAAAAAAGGATTTTAAAGCTAAAAATAAATTAAATCAGTCCTCGCCCAGAGCTCCAGCGGGAGAAGGACGGGCGCCGGCGCCCGCACCGCGGCGATCCCGATCCGCGCAGCCTGGGGACTGCCCGCCGGCCCCGGGCACTGCGCGGCCGCGGCGCTCCCGCCGCACGCCCTTCCCCGCCCCGCGAACAAAGGAGCGCCCGGGGCCGCTTACCGTTATGTGCGGGATGCTCTTCTTGCCCTGGTAAGACATGTCGGCTCTCCTTAGCGCCGGGAGCACGCAGCGAACCCGAGGAGCGAGCCGAGCCCAGCCGAACAACACCGGCGGTGCTGACAGGAATAATAATGCGAARCCCGGTCGGGTGATGGGGCGGGGCGGGGGCGACCCGGCAGAGCGATGGAATGGGGGCGAAGTTCCGTCGCCCAGAGGAAGGGAAGCCCGGCAAACCCGGCACCTTTTTTTTTCCGGCTGCAATCAAACGGGGACGCAGCTCCCGGGGGGGGTCGGCGAGCGCTGCCTCTGCTGGCGGCAGCAGCGCCCTCCCGGCTGCAGGTCGGAGCAGGATTCGCTCAGCGCAACCCAGGAAGCGTTTCCTTCCCTCCTGTCCCCCACCCCTCCGCCTGGCCCCCCTTCACAGCCATCAATCCAGCCGGAGCCTCCCTCCCGCACCGGCGCTGCAAAACGCCGCCCCGCCAGCTCCGCCGCCGCCCCGCTCGCACGCTGAGGTCACCGGCAGGATCCCACGCGTGGGTTGCCGCAGGGTGGGGACGGGGGATATAACCCCCGCCGATGGGTCCTGCTGTGCTACACATGGCAGTGGCACTGCCTGAGCCGTMCCCACGGCATGGAGCCTCACGGCAATGYTCYGCACTGTCCCCACGGCACTGTCCCCTCAGCATTGACCCTGATGGCCCCATACTGATGGCAATGCCTTGCTTTGTCTCCATGGCACTGCCGGCTCGTTCCTCATGGCACTGTCCCCACGGCACTGTCCCTGACAGTCCTGCCCTGCTCTGCTCCTGATGGCACTGCCCCAGGTGGCACTGTCTGCTCTGTCCTCACCAACAGCTCTGACCCCAATCGCACTGTCCTGCTCTGCCCTCCTTGTCACTGCCCCCCTGTCACACACCTGCTCCACCCTGCGCCCAGGGAGGTCATGGGGGATGACACAACCAGGCCAGGCAGATGCTTTGTGAGCAGCTGCTGCAGAATTAAAGTGGTGAGTTTTACCCTTCTGGCTTTTCTCTGTCTCCGAGTGCCTCCCTCCAGCCAAGATGCTTGATTAACACTGTGAACTGCAGGAAGAGTGAAAGGCCCTGCAAAGCTGTGCCCAAGTTAATCCCCAGAGGGGCATGCACAGCACACCCACCCCTGTGATACACACATAGATAGAAGACACTGAGCATCCAGATCACATCCCTGACACACCTTCCCAAAATCATTGTTTGAAGCTCGTAAAAAACTGGGTGCCACTGCACAGGGGTCACATTATATCTACCGCTTACAGTGCACCTTCCTAAATCAGAGGCCAAATCTTGCCTGCTTTACCCCTAACACCCTCCTCACCTCGCTTTGGCCAACTTGGCAAGAACAGTGGGAGCCAGGGAGGTAGTGTGCAGTGTGCTCACTACCCTGAGTGCCAGACTGAACTAGGAAGCAGGGAAGATGGGGAGGCAGCACCATGGATGTGCCAGAAGGTGGGGTGTGTTGTGCCCTCCCATTGCCCCAGAGTCCTGATAGAAGAAAATCRGGAGTTCAGGTGAGCTAGGAAAGAGAAAACTGCACTGCAGCTGGCAGCCTCTGAAGGCAACCCTGTGGTCATTGTTAAGAACGCATCTGCATCCCAGGCACAGTGTCCCACCAAGTGCCTGCTCTCTCCAGTGTCCCACCACAGCASACACCCAAGGGGACGCACAGGAGGCCACGTGGCACCTACACCCAATCCCCAGGCCAGAGCAAACCAGCACCCCATTCATGCTGAAATTGAAGAGGGGGAGAAAAGAGTGGAAACTCTCAGTTCAGCCAGTGGAAAGAGCAGAGTGCAGACAAGCCAAGGGCTCCAGGCTGGATACTAAGGGAAAGGGTGCATCCATGCAGAGGCAACACTGCAAGGCCGCATTTCTTTCTAAGGGGAAATCAATGACAGCCCGGGTTCCCAGGAAAGCCAGCCCCCCGAGTCTGCCTGCAGCCGGCATGCCAGCGAGAGGGCTAAGATGGAGATGCACAGCCGTCAGGGGCCGGCCAGCTCCCCCGGCTCACTTCTTCCCTGCGTCTGCAATATGAGTGCAGGCTGCAGCCCCCGTGGAGGGGAGCCCGGGGCAGAGGTTTCAGCCGATCCTCCCGCCTTCTGCGCTCCCTGCCGGGGAGACAATGCAGGCGCACAGGGAGCCGGGGGGAGCAGGGGCAGAGTCAGGGCGGGGGACCGGGGCAGATCCTGGGGCTGTGCCCGGGAGAGACTCCGCGGAGTTTCCCCGGCGAGCCCGCGAGTGCAGCGGGCCCGGCTTTGTTCCGCGGGGCGGCGGGGAGGCGCTGAGGACCCGAGCTGCCCTCCAGCCCCCCGACACGGGCAGGAAAGGAAACGGAGAAAACTCATCGCCATCACTTACAAAGGAAAACGATTTCKGGGGTCGCCCCCTCCCGCCCCCGCTAAGCTCTGCCAAGTGAGGTAGTTTAGGGGCCAGCCGGGTTCTTGCCAGAGCATCAGCATGCCCGGGAGGAGGCGGCGGCGCCTCCCGACCTGCCGCGCCGGAACTCCCCCGCAAAGGCGGCCCCCAGCCCCCTGCGCGGGCGAGCGGGGCTCTGCGGCACGGCACGGCACCATACAGCACAGCACAGCACAGCACAGCACAGCACAGCACAGCACAGCAATCTCGGCTCGGCTCGGCTCGGCTCGGCACAGCAATCTCGGCTCGGCTCGCCAAGCGAGCGGGGGCGGCGGCTCCCTCCTCCCTGCCCGGGCCCCGCTCACCTGTCCATTGTCCTGGCCCTGCAGCAGCTCCTTCCCCATCGGGTATTTGATCTCCACGCCCGGGGTCTTGTCGTCCCGGTCTCCCGGGGAGCTGATGACGGAGCCGGAGATCTCGCTGATGTCGCTGGCGGTCTCGCTGTAGTTGTCCCCTCCGTCCAACATGTCGTGACGGCTGCCGCTCCGCGGGGTCCGGGACCCCTTCTTCCCCACGCTGTAGGCGTCGAAGTCGATGGTTTTGTTCTCATAGGCCCCCTCCACGGAGGCGAACATTCCCCCGTATTTCTGCCGCGGTGTCTGGGCTGTCGTGCCCGGCCTAGCTAGATACACAGGCAGGTCATCTTCTTTATTCCAGTTCCTCTTTCTCTCGGCCATTCTCGCCGTCCGGATCTCTCTCTCTCTCTCTATCTCTCTCCCTGCCTCCCACTTCTTTGCMCCTTCCACTACCGGGATAGGCTGTTAGTGACCATAAAAATGAATGGATGGATGCAGCAGTGGCGGAGCTGGGTTGGCTGGTGGGATCTTTCCCTTAGGGAACTGCAAACGTTACCCTCCCTCCCCCCACCCACCCCCCCCCGGAAAAAAAAAAAAAAAAGAATATTAGAAAAAAAGGAAAATAAGAGAGAAAGAAAGAAAGAGAGAGAAATAAATCCGAGCGGGATTTAAAAATAGCCGTGTTAGTAAAGAGCACGTGAAAATAAAGTACAAAGAGCGGAGCGGAGAGGGTGGCAGAGGCAGGTGATTGGAAAGCCCCTGACGAATGGGAAGAGCAGCAGCGATCCCCGAGCAGGGACCGCAGTGCACAGCTCCCCCRGTATAGAATGATCCGGGGGGCGGGAGGCAGGGGGAGGAGGCAGGGAGGGAGCCCGCCGCATGCACACACGGCCGGTGCCAACGGGGTCCTGCCCTGCTGGCGGGCGGGCGCCGGTCACCTGCTGCTGCGTGGCTTCGGGGGTGGGAAAATAGGGAGGTGAAAAGAAAAAGAGAAAAAAGAAAAGCTCCGAACCTCCCCAGCCCCCCCGAGCGAGCCGGAGGGAGTTTCTCCCACTTCGCTCACTCGCAATGCCCCCGCCCCCCTCCGCGGGAGAGGCTGCGGCGGTGCCCGGGCGGGGCGGGGGGCGCGGCCGCGCAGCCCCCGGTACAGGCGGGGGACGGGCCAGCGGCGGGGGCCGGTCTGCAGGGCCAGCGGCGGGGAGAGGAGCGCGGGGTGGCCGGACTRCGGGAGGAAACACAAGCAGCCTCAGCCTCCGGGCAGGTGCTGGCGCTGCCCCTGCCGCAGCAGCTGGTGGCCGCGGGGGTGGCGGTGGCTCTGCTCCGCCCCGCGCCCCGGCTGCCGCTCCCCGCCTGCCGCTCCCCGCTGCGGCGGCGCCGACTGGGAGCCCGAGCCCTTCGCACGGTGGGCAGACTGCGGGGACAGGAACAGGGACAGGCAGCGGGGACAGGAGCGGGGACAGGAGCGGGCACAGGCAGGGGAGACAGGAGCGGGGACAGGCAGGGGGGACAGGAGCGGGGACAGGCAGGGGGGACAGAAGCGGGGACAGGAGCGTGGACAGGCAGGGGGGACAGGAGCGGGGACAGGAGCGGGGACAGGCAGGGGGGACAGGAGCGGGGACAGGCAGGGGGGACAGGAGCGGGGACAGGCAGGGGGGACAGGAGCGGGGACAGGCAGGGGGGACTGGAGCGGGGACAGGCAGGGGGTTACAGGCAGCGGGCCCCGGCCCTGACACGGAAGTGATCCCGCCGAGCGCTGCCTGAGCCGCCGGCCCCGCCGGGGATGGAGCCGGTTCCGTGTGCGGCCCCTGAGTCTCCTCCGAGCCCCCCGAGCCCCGCGCAGGGCGGGGAGCCGGGGGTGGATCCCCTCGGAGCGGCTGGAGCGCTACCGCCCCCGGAGCTGTCCCTTCAGCACCCCGGGAGGCTCCCCGGGCCGGTGCTTGCCTGTCTCGGCCTCGGCTAAAACTRGAGAACCAGGGAGGGCTCAGTTTCACTAGGAGGGATCCAAGTTCCCAAAAGCATGGTCAGGAGCGGTGGAGAGTGTGCTCCCCTTAGCTCTCTGCACAGCCCACTTCATAAAGTCCGTCTTTTTACAGACCTACATGTCTTAGAATGCCTGAGGAGATCATCCACAGAATTCACAAGTCCTTGGACACTCCTCTCCTGCACATGCAGCCAATCTCTAGCAATGTCACGCCTYTGACTACACCAGTAGTTACATAAGGGACATTTTCTGTTGCTCTGAAATAATATTTTGCAACAAAGTGGTCTGAATTGATTACGTGACAAAACAAATTTGAAGCAGTGCATCAATCGCAGGGCCTGTTTAGTGCTCATGTACACTGTGCTGTTTGAATCCAAGCCCAGCCACACAGCACTGGTGGTCCACAGGCATACCTGGTGGTCCCAGCATCAGAAAAAATCCAAGTTTCTAACTGCAGATCAGAAAAAGTGGGAGGTTAAAGAGAGAGGTTCCTAGGATTTAATCAGAAATGAGTCCAGATAACCATCTTTTTTATTAACAACTACCCATGGACCCAAAGCTCATGAAAAAGCAGTTCTCAGACATACCTGAGCAATGCCAAAATACAGCCAAGGAAAACCTTTCTTTTCTGCATTTAAAGCTGTGGGATCTGTTGTCTTGAAATGCCCTGTGTGTGCATTCAACACTGAGTGTTGTTCACATGAGGAGAGTTAGRAAACTAATCAAAATTTCACTTATTACTGGTTATCAACACACTGATTTTAGTCAACTGACGTATATTGGCCAGGATTCCACAGCTCACTTAATAAACCGTATTTCCACATTAATATCATATGGAGGCTTCACTGGTGTGGGGAAAAAAAGTAAGTCTATCTTATAGGACATTACTTTGTTGCTTCCTTAAATTCTTCTCTTGTATGGGCAAATATTTTTTTTTTCTGTTCTTGATGGTAAAAYTGAGATTTATTGATCATGTTGGAAAACAATTTGTTCCTCCACACAACAGCAAACTGTGACAGTCAGTGAAATATGCAGGTGGTACATGGAGCATGATGTGTGACACGCCTGTCTCTGCAAGTATTGGAAAAAATATCCATTTTATGAGTTTACTTCTTTGCAATCAAGAGTTTAATTTGAACTTCTAGAATAAAAACTTCTAAAGGTCCCATAGTAGGTCCAGTATGTTGCACAGTGCATGCATCTTTTAAATGAAGAGCATCTTTTATTTATCATCCATAAAGCCAAGAAAGATGGACTCTTGTTTAGAACTGGGATCTAGTGAGATAACATTGTTCAGGCTTCTAGAGTAGTCAGGGTTTTTTTTTTTTTTTTTTTTTTTTTAAAAAAAAAAAAAAAAAAAAAAAAAAAAAAAAATAAAATTAAAAAAAAAAAAAAAAAAAAAAAAAAAAAAAAAAAGCAATAATGCTACCTTTTCAGTATTAAGATAGAAGTATTAATATATCATATTAATTGTGATATAAAAGGAGATCACAAGACTCAGAAAATATGTCAAATCAATGCTTTAGAAAACAGCATTAAACATTCTAGTTAGAAATAAGCATAAAATAATACCAGAATATGTCTCAGCTTTTAAATGTTTGGGGCTTTTTTCATACCATTGCCCTTAGTTTATTAAAAACTGTTGTCAGTCACCAGATGCAAATTGTTCCTTTGTTCAGTAAGAGCAAAAATAGAGGGTTTACATTTTACAGAAGGAGACCCCATTGCATCCTGATAYCCTGACACCATGTGAGTTTGCCTGAAAACAAGTGTGCAACTTTGCTTTGGTATATTCTCTTGCAGACARCACATYTCATCCTGTTTTAACATTGTTCAAYGAAAAGAGACCGAACTTGATTGAAAGYGCACCCTCTTTCTAAAGGACCTTCATTCCAAATAGACTGGATCAGTGATAACAGAAAACCTAGAGGCTTCAAACAAGAAGGTATCACATACCTGCTTGGCTTTGGTTGTAGCTGAGCTCTTCTTGCAACATGCTGAACATCATGAGCCAGAACAGGACTTTCCTGGTGCAGGGGCTTAGAGAATATGGATTGCACATTTTGCACCTATCTTTTGCTATTGTGCATTTTACAACAGACTCATCAGACAAAAGAGACATCAGTGGTCCAAAGGGAATGCATGTGAAAGACACGAGTTCTCCTTCATCCAGAGGAGTGACCTGAGTCACCAAGGGACCGAGTCAGTCTCCCTCTCTGCTCTGTGGGACTGCTGTATCTCTGACAGCAGTGCCCTTCTTTCCCCTTAAAGCCCTCTCCCAGGGCTTGGTGATTTGGACTGTCTCCTGACACAGAGGAGCTGTGAACTCAGAACACAGCTCCAAGCAGAGAAAGGATCAGGTTACCCACTTCATGAGCAGTGACTCAGCCCATAGAATTCTGCCAATTCATATTAATCCCACTAACTCAGCAGAAGCTGAATGGCAGCTCCACCACCAAGAGGTGCTTGGTGGTTGCATATAAAATTGTATTTCAGAAGCTCTGTCACAATTTTAAAATTAAAATAATAAAATTATAATGTTTTTAATTTAAAATATGCATACATTTAATATACAAAATTATACAAATTATACATTTAGCTAACATAGAAAAATACATCTTGTTAACAAGATAAAATGTCAACGTATCTTACATAATTTGTGAGAGTTACAAATCTGTGATCATCAAGTAGACTTTGTGACTTCATTACAATTCTGTATCCTCCTAGTTACACTGAATATTAATACATATATACAGTTGATATCAATGGAAAATATCTTAGAGTGGAAATCTTTGCTGAAGAGTTATCCAGAAGGTTTCAATGAAAACAGTTAAAATATGAGTGGCCTCTTTTATATTATTGAAGCTTCTCACAGAGCCGAAACTAATCTGACAACCCAGTGACAGGGTGGTCATGGGTCAGAGTTTAAACTTTTTGCATTTATTTACAAAGACCCCTCCCTCCCCAGTCTATCTGGTAAACCTCTTTAATAAGGATCACACCATAAATCCCAGCCTTTTTGTGCATTCTTTGGTACCTCTTAAAATGGATCCCAATTTGTGGCCCTAACAACTGCTCTTCATGATTTCTGGTTTCCACTCCTCTGTTGGCTGTGCAAAAGTGTTAAACAGTTGTACAGCACTAGAGCTCAAAAGGCAAGRTCTCAGTACATTATTTATCCCAGATTACTCATAAATACCTCAGGAGATGGGGAAATATTTTTGTTTCAGTCAACAAATGTGTGCAGTAAGTCTTCACTCCTTATTTAATTTACACGGTTTCCTTTTCCAAGATCCAAACAAAAGACAGAAGCGTAATTTATAAATAAGCTATAAAAATCTGTTCCATGCTGGGCCTTGTCTTACATACTATGAGCCACRTAATGGTTTTCTTTTAACTATTTACATATTCTTTAAAATTTGCTTCTCATYGCAGGGAGAAAAACAGAAGACCACCACCAGTCTGATTTCAGGCCTTCATTTTTTTTTTTCTTTTTTTCTTTTTTTTTAAATTTAGCTCTGTACCGACAAATTGCTCCTAATTCCTAGAAGA